AGTAAAATTTAAATTCAGCCTTCCCGTACTCGCGGGTAACACGTACGGCCCCGTGAAAGTTTTTGACGCATGAATTATCCCGGGAACCACGGTATCTAAGAAGCTGAAATTTTAGGGCAATGACTCCCTGCCCCCGAACGATCTTGCAAATACATATTCAGCGTCCCCGCGCTGTCGGGTACCACCTACGGGCTAGTAACAGTTTTCACGGGTAAATTATCTCGAGAACCACGGAGTCTAGGAAGCTGAAATTTTAGGGTAATGACCCCCTGCTCACGAACGATCTTGCAAATACATATTCAGCGTCTCCGCGTTGTTGGGTATCCCTACTGGCTAGTGAAAGTTTTTACGGGTAACTTATTATCTCGGGAACCACAAAGCCTACGAAGCTGAAATTTTAAGGTTGCGACTCCTTGCCCACGAATGATCTTGCAAATACGTATTCAGCGTTTCCGCGCTCTGGGGTATCACCTACGAGCTAGTGAAATTTTTTGCGAGTAAATTTTTATCTCGGGAGCCACAAAGTCTACAACGTTGAAATTTTGGGGTAGCGACCCCCTGCCTATTCAAATTCAGCGTTCCCGCGTTCCCGAGTACCACCTACGGCCTCGTGAGAATTTTGGCGGGTAAACTATTAACTAGGGAATCACGGAAAGATATTCACCCTTCAAGGTTTCGAATTCAGCTTTCATGCGCTGGTACATGAAATTTTTAACTGTTTTCCAACGTTTGAACTATTTTTGCATAGACTAAAGAACAGAGCAGTGAAAATCATTAATAGGCAGTCGATGGGCTGAATTGCACAAAACGCATGATCGCACCGGCTAGTCTGGTGCGCGTTGCTGTTTATTTGATTTCATTTGCCCGCTTATTCTGTGCATCAAATCCGTTTTCCAAGTTAATTGACTGGTTAGTGAATATGAAGTTCGTTTTTTTAGACCGATTTGACAAAATTCGAAGATGCAAAGACGACTGACAAAAACGACGGTAGATCAACGAAATCAGCGAACGATACATTGGATTCGAACAAATCAACGCCATTCATACAGATTCCGTACCAGCCGCCATCATCGGACTCGCTTGCGCTTGGTACAACACCCGAGTATCAGGTTACAACTTCTTCCGTGTTCATTAGCAGCGAACTTCCTGCCTTTGAGCTCGTTTTCAAAATTGTTCCGTCTGTGGGATGTTCCCTGCTCATTTACGAGCAAAATCAGGTGTTTAGGAGCGCCCGAGCCCAAGTACGAGCGCGTGGAAATTTTGGCGTGAAAATCACTAACCCAGGAACGAAAAAAGCTAGAAAGCTGAAACTTTAGGGCCAGAACTACCAGAAAACACCCCCTTAAAATTTCAGCTTTCTAGCTTCCCTGAGGCCTGAGTTTTTTTTTCACGGGCCCGTGCGTGTTTACCACGCATTCCCGAGAGTTGGGTTTGAGCTGGACGAAACTTAGATGGACAGGGTTTTCGTAGATGAAGCGCAGTGTTTGTTTCGGGGAGAGGTTGAAGAAAAACGAAGGTGAATTCAGGAAATTCTAGATGTAGCGGAAGGTACACAGCTCGGTTTGTTTCACTGTTATCCTAAAGCAAGGCAGTGTCAAGGTCGTTAAGATGCTGAGCTGTTATCACCGCAG